AATGGGACTTTGAGCTTTCTAATTCTAAAAGTTGTAAGGTACTGGATCTGGAGCAAGGATTGTATCTACTCTCTCTTTCTTCCAGTCAGTACCAAAAGGAGGGAGTGGTGTTAGTACCTGCCATTTATTCAGGACCCACTGAACATCATGCACTGTGCTTAGCACTGACATAATCCTGAATAATCCTGAGGTTATTATTCCTGCTTTACATGTTCTGTTGCTCCAAGAGGTTAAGTAACTGGCTTCTGGTTCCAAAGCCACGAAGTGATGAAGTTGGAAATGAAGTTGGCCTGGCTTTTGAAGCCTGTGCCATTTTCATTACACACTCTGACACCTCGTCTTTGCTGCCTCTTAACTTTATGGTTCAATTTCTGTCCATTTTTGGGAGTTAAGTGCCTGCTAACCTGTTCCTGCCACAATGAGAGCTAATAAAAGATCTGAAATTGACAAAGTGTGGCATTTCGGAAAGAGTATTTTTAATTTGTAATCCAAACATCTGGGTGAATCAAACTTTGGCTATGTAATTTTATATTTTGGTGACTTGGGGCAAGCCTTTTACTGTGAAAATTATTTATTTTGAGGGCCCCAATTTCTGAAACTGCAATCATGTGAAAATGATTTTAAATTGTCAAGTGCAATGCAAGTAGATGATGATGTGATCTTAATGTGAATTTAAGTCAATGTGTTGCCTTCTGTAGGATTCTTAACATTTGAGGAGTTTCAGTTACCATCATTCTATTATATTTAAATTTATTACACATCAATTCTGTGCAAGTTTTTCTGGAGAATTATAGATATGTAAGATCTGGAGAGACTTAAAGCAGTTCAGAGACAAAATAAAAGATATTTTGTCCTTCAGAGAAAGATTTTTCTGCAGTAAGAACCAGAAGGGATATATGCTTATACAAATATTATACAAATATTATATACAAATATTATACAATATAATATACAAATATTATACAAATATTATATTCCCTATATATACATGTATATATGCTTATACAAATATCTAAATATTTTTCTTAAGGACAAAGAGAAATGCTGGTTTGAAACAAAGTGTCAAACACCTTCAATATGCAGTGTTGGCATTCAAAAGCTTCAGTCCATTGGTTCTGTATCTAGCCTTGTATTTAATATATTTAGCAAAGGGGATGTTCGTGTTCAGCCACAAATTCTTCATCTGAGTCACAATCTAACTTTGGTCAATTGACTTATTCTTATTTTTCAGATAGGGAGGAAGATATTTTTATGCCACAAAGGGAATAACATTATCACAAATAAGGGAAGACTATAAAGTGCCATGAGCTTTGGGAATGAAATTTGCTATGAAATGGATATCTGTGAGCTTTCTACAGTATTGTGGTAATTTCAGTCACATCACTCCTTAGAGGCCTGAAAGGGAAGCTCAGTCATTTAAAAATAAAATAAATAAATAAAACAATTATCAGGAAATACTATCTTGAATATAAAATGCACAAATTGAAAAATGTAAAATTAGATTAAGCCATTAACTGCCTTTATCCCAGCCCTTGTGGATAGACGTGTGGCTGTTAGACACAATTTGCAATGTCCACCTTTGTGAACAGTAGAAAGCTTAGAATGATCCAAATTGGAGTACTCACAAGATTCTGTAACTTCCGCTGTTTCCAGAATTGTGACTGTTTAGGGGCTGAGTACCACTGATCAGGCATCAGTCTCGCAGGTATGGATTAGCCAACAGGAAATTCTAGAGCATCCAAGAGAAATATATTAATAGAAATTGCTCTTTCAGTTTTCTAATGAGCTTTTAAGAATGAATATGCACATTGGAGCGTTTGTTAGTTGAACACTCACTAAAGTCCCCTGTACATTCACGGCAATGCAGTGTCAAGAGAAATAAAAATTTGCAGATTTTTTTTAACCAGATCATTAAAATTGCTCTTTTTGTAACTTCCTACAACTGAAGGTTGTTTTTTTTTTTTTTTTTTGTCCCAGTGGTGGGTGGTAAATGAATAGTATCAAACAACTTCAGAATGAAACTAGAGGTAAAACTAGCCAGACCCCTTAACTCCTGGATCAGAACCAGACAATACTAGGCAAGAAGGCTCAATTCCCAGCAGCTTCATGATCCAAAACATCTGTTTCTGTATTTGGCACAATTCCACTTTTTTATTTGTAAAATTGTTCCCATCTTTGAAAACACTTTAAAAAATAAAGAAGCCCCCATTCTGTCTCCCTTTCCACTTCCCAGCACATGCATCTGTAATTACCTGGTTTAGTCTGTGTGTTTAATCAGTTTAAATTGAGAATGTTGCAGACATCTGATTTCAATCTGAAGGAGCCATTGAGTATTGGACAGTTACCACCCTGTGTCTGCCAAAACGGGCCTCTGCCAAAAAACGGATAGGACTCACACCAGGGTATTTCCTAAAGAAGCCACTTGACTCAGATTAGATGTTTAATTTCCTTAAAATATTGTTTTGGATGTGAGTCTCTGTTCTCTAATTGGAATATTCTGATGTAATTTAGGAATATCGCTTATTTGCTGAGCTTGTTCCAGGATCCAGCTGGCATTATTCTAAAGCCTAAACCTCAAGGAAGTTAACTTCACTCTGAGCACTGAGTATTATACCTCGCGACTTTGAAGGGTGGGCCAGGCCCACATTTGCTCATATCTTTGTGGAACCATTGTACATGCATGCAATGCAGTTGAATTAATTTTGAGAGAGAAAGACTTCTAGTTATGGTAATGAAACTTCTGATCAGAGCTTCTCATCTTTTGAGATAGTTTCTTAATTGAAGTAGGAAAAAATTATTTTCTTCTACTACTGACTATTCACTTAAATTTTATTTTAATTTACAACATTTTTTGACATATCAACCAAGTTTCTAGATTTCCTCAGCAATGTTCACTTAAAACACCTATCATTGGCCAGAGTTTGAGATTTTAAGTTTTTGTTTTGTTTTTCCTTGTTGGATTGTAATTTCTTTTCTTTTTTATTTCTATTTTTTTGTTTGAGCTTTTCTGCTCAACATAGTAATCCCAGCACTTTGGGAGGCCAAGACGGGCGGATCACGAGGTCAGGAGATCGAGACCATCCCGGCTAACACGGTGAAACCCCGTCTCTACTAAAAAACACAAAAAAACTAGCCGGGCGAGGTGGCGGGCGCCTGTAGTCCCAGCTACTCGGGAGGCTGAGGCAGGAGAATGGCGTAAACTTGGGAGGAGGAGCTTGCAGTGAGCTGAGATCCAGCCACTGCACTCCAGCCTGGGTGACAGAGCGAGACTCCGTCTCAAAAAAAAAAAAAGAAAGAAATAAGTACATGGAGCTGGGTTCTTTCTAAAAGTTTTATATTGGAGTTCTTGAGTTTGAAGGTTTTCAGCACATGAAAGGCTCTGGGAGCCCGTTGATTTGTTAACAATGTTAGGATGGCTGCTAAAAATTCCCTTGCACATTTTGCACAGTGGTAAAGCCATACACAGGGTGATGGGCTGACATTTCCTAGGAGTATAGTATTGTCAGCAGCTCATGAGCTTGCCTTAAGCCACACAACCAGCATGCTAGAAGCAAAGCAAATGTAGAGAACACAGTAGGGAAACCTGTGAATATCTACTTATGTCAAGGCTTTAAAAATCTTTCTTATCATACAAGCATATAGCATCAGCTGTTTGGGGTTACCAGATTGTAGTCAGAAGTTTGTTTTTCAAGGACATAATCAAAACCAATGAAGATAAAGAATAAAAAGTTGAAGGGCATAAAGCTAAAATCACTTACTATAGCTTTGCATAATGGGGTTTGTCTTGCCAAAGAAACTAGGAACATTTAAACATTTAAAGTCAGCTTTCTGAGGTCTCCCTCCCCACCACACTCATAGGAGGGCCCCTGAAAGTTAGTTTCCTCCTCATTCCTCCTTGCCTGCCTAGGACCTATCCCCAAAAGGTGCTCTTCTGTCTCTGGTATGTTTGTGCTCTAATTCCTGATGCATTTATCTTAAAGTTTAAATCCTGTTGGCAGCCTCATTCCCACTTTTCTCATGTCTTACAAAACACTGCCCACAACTGGCAGCAAACTTGCTAGGGTTTGAGTTTTGTTCTCATCACTCCCAGATGAGCCCCAGTTCCCTCTGCTTTTCTGACTTCCAAGAGTTGTTGAGGCACAAAGGAGCAGGAGAGCAGCTCCATTGGCTGTAAAGAACTGTGTGCAAATAGAATTGTTATTTGGCTAGTTTTAGCATTTCTCATTTCTGAAGGCCAAATGAGGCATAGTCTAATTCATTCATTTCACAAATACTTATTGAACACTTACTATCTATCAGGCACCATTCTGGGTGCTTCAGATACAGGGAGAAAAAACAAACCAAGGATCCTGTCCTCCAGGGAGCTGAGGTAAAGGGGTTTGTTTCAACACAGTCCTAGCATTTGGTTGTAAGGTTCACCGAATAGCTGCAGTGAAAGAACTAAAGGCATAGAGAGGTTAAAGGACTTGCCTCACCCTGTCTAGTCTGAAGGAGCAGGGAATAGAATCCTTTATCTACTCTTACTATATTTCTTTGAATCCAATATAGATATGGTTCTGGTAGTTTCTTTGTGATTCCTTTTAGTATCCAAAAGGAAGAAGTTTCTGCTCAGATATATCTGTGTGTCTGACAATTGTGGTATAGGTATTGGGAAAAAAATTGGAAATAGTAATTGCTAGTCAGTATGAGTGAAAGGAGAATTTACATATAAAGATCACCAAACCTAAAAAGAAAGGATGTTATAGTAAGAACTTAAAAAGTCTTCAACTACTATGTTAGATGCCATAGTAGTTGTTGGCAGAACAGTTTGGACAACCATCCCATCAAAACCTGCATTTTCTGTGTTTATTGTGTGTATCCATATGTAAACACCTGAATTTTTCATCCTGACTGTATAGTTCATGAAAAGAAGGCTACAGTGATGCCTAACAAATTTGTCAGACTATTGTCATAACAGTGTATTAATTTGGGATCTTGCTGTCTTCTGCCTTCTCCTTTAGAGTTGCTGGAATTGTGGCCGTAAAGCGAGTGAAACCTGCAGTGGCTGTAACACAGCCCGATACTGTGGCTCATTTTGCCAGCACAAAGACTGGGAGAAGCACCATCACATCTGTGGACAGACCCTGCAGGCCCAGCAGCAGGGAGACACACCTGCAGTCAGCTCCTCCGTCACGCCCAACAGCGGGGCTGGGAGCCCGATGGACACACCACCAGCAGCCACTCCGAGGTCAACCACCCCGGGAACCCCTTCCACCATAGAGACAACCCCTCGCTAGACGTGAACTCAGAACTGTCGAGGAAAGACAACCAACGCAAAACCAATTCCTCATCCTCAGATGCTCAAAGTTGTTTTTTTTTGTTTGTTTGTTTATTAGATGAATTATCCTATTTCAGTACTTCAGCAAGAGAGAACCTAACTGTATCTTGAGGTGGTAGTAAAACACAGAGGGCCAGTAACGGGTCGTAATGACTTATTGTGGATAACAAAGATATCTTTTCTTTAGAGAACTGAAAAGAGAGCAGAGAATATAACATGAAATGATAGATTTGACCTCCTCCCTGTTATTTTCAAGTAGCTGGGATTTTAAACTAGATGACCTCATTAACCGATGCTTTACCAAACAGCAAACCAAGAGATTGCTAATTGCTGTTGAAAGCAAAAATGCTAATATTAAAAGTCACAATGTTCTTTATATACAATAATGGAAAAAAAAAAAAGAGGAAAACCCTCAAGGGCATGAGCATTGGATACAGCGGTAGACATTTTAACAAGAAGATGAATGGCGTCCGTGGGTTGCTAACTGAACTTTGAAGACCCGCTACAAAACGCGCAGATGTGCAGCAGATTGGAAGGAGACACAGATGTTCGGTTTTTTTCCTGTTTCTGAAAAGAAATAATATCCAGGTCAACAGAATGAAAAATGAAAGATGATTTGCAGTGGGATGTATGAATACAGCAGCAAGAAAAAAAATGCCATAATACAAAAGGCTCCATATATATATATATACACACACACACACAAACACACACATATATATATGTATACACACACACACACACACACACAAGTAAGAGACTCAGCCTGCAGTTAATTAGCATTCTGGCAGTTTTGACATCAGCCAGCTGCCCTAAATAACCCTTCATCGTTTCTTCACTTTTGCAAGGTTCCACAGAGTAAGACATTGGGTCTATTCCAACTCATTCATTTTATATTGAAAAAAATAATAATTTTAAAAATGGTGGCTTCAGCTCCAGCCCCTTTCCAAAATTTTTCAACCCCACCCTGTTTGGATTTTTAATTAAAAACTAGTAGTTCTCTTGGTGTTAAAACACTTCTGTCCTGTGAGGTTTCCCAATGGTGTTTTTCTTGTAAATGTGTTGGACAAATGTGAAGATGCATTGTAGTTTAACCATATGCCCACATTTAGTCTCTTTATTCCTAGTTGGTGAGAAACCTGTATCTTTCTATGCTGCTTTTATATCTGTATGTATTAGTGATATTTCTCTAGTAGTTAAAAAAAAAAAAAAAAGGAAAAAAAGACTCTTTTTGGTTGTCCTCAAGAAAAGAAAAGAAAAAAAGCTATCTTTCGGAGCTGCTATTTCACTCTCT